AAGTAATACAGCTATGTCCACCCGCAAATCCCAGTCACCCAGACCCCTCTCCCTACCTTGAGGCCATATCAATACGTAGCCTTCGCCAGGTTGTCATCAAAAGTCGCATCCTTGAACGGCACGATCGCGCTCCCGAAGTCCGTATCCGACAGCGCCGTGCTAGCAGCCGTGGGCAGACTCTCCCAGGCGACCAGCGGCTGGGTCCCGCCGACGGTGGTCGTGAGCCCGCACGAGTGGTCGATGGGCCAGATGCTCTCGTACTTGATCAGCGGCTTGACGCCGTCGAGCGTGTACCCGTCGGTGGAGCAGTCCCAGTCGCCATGAGCAGAAGGGCACACGGCCAGAATGTTGTCGGCGGTGTAGACGGTGGGGTCGGAGATCCACACGATTACCCCCTCCCAGTCGTGGCGGTGGCCGATGCCGGTGGAGGGCTCGTCTTTGGGCATGTACCAGCTGTATAGCAGGGCGGTCGGGTAGGTGTAGTCGCCCGTGGAGGAGACGTTGCTGCGCACGTAGATCTGGCCCGTCGAGGAGCTGCAGTCGCCGTCGGAGGCACCGGTGGGGGCGAGTCCTGCACTTTTGGGGAGTTAGAGAGGATTTTTTGATAAGGAGTGAGGAAGGGGCATGGAGTGCGGGGAAGGGACAGGGTTGAGGGGAAATGTATGTATGCGGGGTTATAGTGTACTGTACTGTACTCACTTGGTATCGCCCTCCGCATCAACGGCAGGGAACGGTACACATCCGTTGACCACGTAAAGGTACGGCTGGTAGTTCAGATACAATGTGCCCGTGGCATCGTCAGGGACCGTCTGGTTAAAGCCCACGATCTCGTCGCTGGCGATGGTGCCGCGCGCACTGAGCTTGGAGGTGGCAGGCCGGGCCTGGACCATGGACAGGCCCGTGGCGAGAAGTAGGGCAGATCGGAGAGACATGACAGACTGAATCGGGGAATTCGAAGATTGGCTTTGGCCACTTCACACTCTGAACAATGTTCCTGACAGCTTGGAGCAGAGTTTGGCAGACGGATGGAACGCTGCCTTTATGCTGGTCGCAATGGGTAGGAATCGGCAGGATCGGCAGTTCTCCCCTGAAGAACCAGTTATCACGGTGGGGAAGAACGGTCGGTCGGCCGCGCAACTCCACCATTGGAGTTCACGAGCAAAAGCCCATTGTGACCATGTGAGAGAGAACGTGATGGATGATCGGAGGGGAAGTGGTTGAAGGCAATGGATTGCTGGACGGGATCGATATTAATCCCGTCGGCCGTCTTCCTCCAATCAAAGCAGGCGAGAGCTTCACGCGACGGTTGAGGATCAGTGCGTTGCCGCCACGGTCGGATTTGTCTGGTTGACAGACATTGTTCAATGAACAAGCTAGCTGGAGGCAGATAGCTTAGTCTATTGCTTGATGGTTTAAGATCATGACTTTGTCAGGCTGTTAGCACTCTGCAGCTTAGGGCTAGGCCGAGGTTGACCCGGTATCGGGCTCACAGGGTGCCGAAGTGAGCATCCCTTGGAATTAATTAATGTATGTACTGTAAGTCGACTGTGATAAGAAAAGTCTCATCGACACCGCCAGGGCAAGAATAAAATCGCCGCACGGGCAAGTCTTCCGGTCAGACCATAGCAACCTGCTGCTGCAGTCCCGCCTGCCCATCAACCAGGCCCACCATCAACTCGCTTCTTCTTGCCACGGGCTCAGGAGCAGCTTCTTTCCTAGCCTTAGCCCTTCGGATCACCGTCCCTTCTCCATGGCCTTCGCCCGCAAAGACCTCCTTTAACAGCCCCCGAGGATGTACTACTGACACCCTGGCCTCTTCCCCTTCCTTTCCCTCCAACAAGTTTTGCACGGCCGTCATCCTCACTGTCCACCGCATCCCCAGACGCGTCCACTCCTGCTTCCGCAGCCACTCCAAGCTGATCACGTCCATTTTTCTTCCGGTTCTTCCGTTCACCAAGCCACCCGTCTCGGAAAGGTACACGACCTTCTCCGGGCGCAGCACCCGCGCCAGCGCAGATGCCGCCAGGTCCGCATGTACATTGAGAACCTGGCCATCGGAAGTCTCTCCCATGCAGGTCAGCACCGGCACGCACGATGCGCGCAGCGCCGCCCGGATAGACGAGTCTTCAACCTTGTTGACTCGGCCCACGTGACCGTACTTGCTTGCATCAAGGTACTCAGCTTGAAAAACACCCGAGGTCAACGGCCGGGCAGAGACACCGATGCTCTCGAGCTCCTGAACAAGCTTAAAGTTCTCCTCGAGGAGAGCTGTACGGGCCAGCGCCAGGGTACGTCCATCGGTGACGCGGATGCCATCATGGAACTCTGACTTGATCCCCGTGGCAGAGAGCAGCGTGTTAAGCTGGGGCCCTGCGCCATGAACGAGAATCGGGTAGAGGCCAATTTGGCTTAGGAAGGCGATCGCAGACGCAAGAGATGGGAGGTGGTCAGCGAGAACAGCACCGCCAACTTTGATGACGGCGAACGGACGGGACGAGAAGGTGGGTGTGCTGAAGTAAGAGAGGTACTGTTGGGCGGTGTGTTTGGAGTCTATTTGGCGCAGGAGTTGTGCTATGGTGGAACGAGTCGCGGCCACTTGGTCGCTCCGAGTCTGCGAGTACAGTCGGATACTATGAGCAGGATATACCGCTGGCAAAGTTGAGCTGCCTCGTATAGAGTGCATAAGTCCCAGGGGGGCCGGTATGCTAGGAGCGAAGCGACCCATGTTGTAGACAAGGCAACTGGTATAAGATACTCGTTCGTTGGGGGCGAACAAAATTCAGGTTGAACCAGCGCGGGGCAGAAGGGTTTATATCCCTCACAATAAAGAGCGCATAGGCAGCCTAGTTCATGCCTGGATTTCAGGATCCGGTTGGGTTGTGTTATATCCCTCATCGCGGCCCGCGGTCGGAATCGAACCGACGATGCATCACAGCAGTGACTGGTGGTGGGGTTTGACTGGAGCCATGGTTCCGAGCTTCATTCCTAATTTCAAGTCGCAGACAGCCACGAGTATCGCTCAAATACAAGTCGGCCATGAGGGCGGTTCCGTATAGTTTTGGTGGTGTTGCAACACAGAGTCGCGCGAACAAATACTAGGTAGTTCGTGGTGGCGCCCAAAGTCAGCCACCCCTCCCCAGCCATGCAACTCGGGCAGGCACACCGACAAGATGACAGCAGCCGGGTTCTCTAGCATATCTCCTGCAGATCCACGTATCGCGTACTGATAACAAAGCATGGACAATTCCCCATTTTCCTTCAGGGTAACATCGCGTAGCGCGCTCACCGCCACACTTCAAGGTTCCATCTTCCATCCCGCTTGGTGCGTCATTTTCTCTCCTATCGGCTATTGGTTGGCCAAATCGCGCTGCAAGAGAACTGGGAAGACACGCATCGGGCACGCACAAAAGGTTCGACGGGTTTTCATGTCAGACTCTCAGAAAATAAGTTAACGTGATCAGGCGAGAATCTGCCAAGCGCTCGGAAGGTCTGGAACTAATCAACGATTTTCTTCCATTCCGCACAAATCAAATCCAGCCATCTGCCGACTGACACAGCTCTGATAGGTCTGGGCCTGGGCATTCAGCACAACTCTCTGATCGCACTAAGCAGATCCAAGTTAGTGCAAGGAATCACTCTGAGGCATTGAAAAGCATGCGATGGTTGTGCAGATGTAGGAGTAGCGCCAGAAGCACCCGGCACCACGCGATGGCCATCCGTCAAATGCACTTATTGTCGCAACGTGCTTAGGTTCTGGGCTTGGTCGCAATACAATGCTTCCAGCTCTCAGCCACAACCTCAATGATGATATTCCATTTTCAAGTGAACGCATCGATTGTAGGTCGTTGTTGACCAAGTGGGGAAAGAATATGGTGCCTCCAGTATTCGAATCCAGAAGTCATGTATACGCAGCTGCCTGGATCGAACACTTTTATTTACCACAGCATTTCGCTGAAGGTCGAAATGGTTGATAATAATAGGGACGAGGGAGCGTCCTGTTGCTTCATCCTGATTCAAGACAGGATGGGATCAAGTTTTGAATGCCCCGTGACTGCAAGACAACGATGACGGGCCGCGTGAGCGATATGGATGCCAACAAAAAAGTAGGCAACAGTCTTATCCTAGCAAAGTAGAGAGGCTCTGTGATCCCGGAATGACCAGTATAGCCCCTTGAAAGAAGCAAGGGCGCATTCATGAAGCTTATGTTCGCCGGAAATGTGGGTTTTGTCTTGTCACACAGCATCATCCGCCTTATGCCTCGTGTAGATGGGCACTGATTAATGATCAAGTGGGACCCTGCTGTTCAGCGGAGAGGAAGAGTTCTGTAAAAAGCGACCGTGGCAAAGGAGCATTGAAATATGCCTTCACTCGGAACAAGCAGGATCTGATTTGACGACTGATCAGTCGCGCTGAGGCTGGCTTCTCCATCGACTAATCAACAGACGAGATGAGCTCAGATTAGCCACGTTGGACCAGGGTCCGGAGCCTTAAGCACTGACTGACATCGTAGTCGGTTGGTGACTTGTGGCCTGGATGTTCTTGAGTATTGAAAAGAGTCGCGTTCAATATTTGCGGGCCGACCCACGTTCTCTCTCCATTTACACGGATCGCGAGTGGCCATTCCAAGGACAGCCAACGCCACGCATCAAATAACAAACTTCCAAGTTCCAAATACTACACCATGGTACGTAGCAGGCAAATTCGTCCGGTCGGAAACCAAATCCTTTCGTTGGTACAAGTGAAGAAAGAAGTATAAGAGCGGGGCAACTCCGCTAAAGGCTTGCAGACGCATCTATGATGGATCTAACGCCTCCCACGCTTGCCCGCCCGGGCGGGGCGGGGGGACTAAAATTAGTCTCAGTCAGTCAGTCTCGATTGCAGCTTACGATGACCGATGACTCAACCCCTCATTTTAACTTAAACCAGTCACTTATCTATCTGCTCACCCTCCAGCCAGCTGTTCGGTTCTCTCCACTTTTCTTCGCAGTTCTTCAACCACCATGACAGCAGCCGGAACGATTCGTGTCCCCCAGAAGGATGGCTCGCCTCTGCGACTCGAGTTCGCCACAGTCGACGACCTGAATGAGATCACCGATCTGTGGTACAATGCCTTCTCACCCGCCATGTTATTCCTCTGGCCGGACACCCCCGGGGTGCGCCAGTGGTGGAACGAAGCCAACCGCCACGACATGCTCCACAAACCCAACGCGAAGTATCTCAAGGTCGTGGACACAGCGCAGAATGGCCGGATCGTTGCGTACGCCAAATGGTCACTGGAGACCGCCGAAGAGCGTGGACGACGGTGGCCCGCATGGCATCCCGAAATGGACCCAGCCTTGATGGATAAATTTCTGGGCCACTTGGAGAGCAACCGGACAATGGCTGTCGCAGGTGCTCCCAAGAATTTCTGTACGTTTGACCCCGGGAGGATCGGAGCATCTTGTTGAGGATTGTTGAGGGGGACTGACGGTGCTCACGCGACCACCAGATCTTGATATGCTAGCGACGCACAGCGACTACCGGAAACGGGGCGCGGCACGGTTGTTGCTTGAATGGGGGTGCGAGGTGGGCGATGAGGAGAATGCGCACATCTATATCGACGCGAGCACCGACGGCCAGCCGGTCTATCAGAAGTTCGGCTTCGTGAGCAAGAATGATCCTTTGGTCGATCCGTTCGAAGTGGCGGCCATGGTGAGACAGCCTGGGTTGAAATCGATCTGACGTCAACGTGTCCAGGAGTTATGGAACTGCAGGTTATGAGATGGTAGAACGGCACATTCTAGCAGTGAGATGATTGACAGACACATAGATAATTTGGTTAACGTTGAGAAAGCGTGGTGCCTTCCTCACGCAGAAGGCATATCAGATCCTGTTTTTGGCTAGATTAGTATAAGGCGTTGGCAGATGGATGCACCTGGTTAGTTGACGTAAATTCAAGTAATCTCGCAAGGTGTATGCGATTAACGACTTTGTATACTCTGCTTTCGAGAACAAGTCTTGTCCTGATAGCTTTTCAAGATCGCAATCGGACGTTGTTATCAGCCCGTTGATGCTTAGTAATGAGACCTTCGATATCATTTACACTCATCGCGGAACACCGGATGGAAAGACGTGTCCGACAATGCTGGTTTTTGTCGCACTTGCAACATAAGCTATGTACCCTTGTTTGTCAAAGCAAGTCTCATCCCTGTTAGACTAAGCCGATAGGATAACGAAAGTGAAAAAGCAAAGCCATTCCCTAAGCCTAACAGGTACTGTAGTAGGTTACTAGAACCAATCGGAGTCATGTTATTCGGGTCTACCCGACTCTCAACCGAAGGACCCTGGCGGATAAGTTTGGGGCTGCTGGATAGGCAGCTGCAGTGGTCTGACTTACAACTATACTAAACCGGTATCTCTGCTTTTACCATTCCTGTCTTAGGTTTCACATGGACCTTACGACTAGCGTGGCTCCGTGTACTGTAGAGAACACCTTCTCCCCCCTGGGAGAAATATATCTGCTGTCTATATTCTCACTGTCCTGTGTACAGTTAAAGTCGTAGGATTGCCCCATCATCTATCCCCAACAGAAAGACATTTCTTGTCTAGGCTCCGACGTCCATTATAGTTCAACAACAAGAACAACTCGTTTCCCCTATCCCTCCTAAAATAACAAAGGAAACTCATAATGCAAGTAAAATGCGAAGAAGCAGCGAAACACATGGTATGCACCCTCTCAATCCCAACTCCTCCTCTTTCAATTCAAAATCCACAACAAAACTTATACCTCCTATAACATACAGCCCGAACCACAGCCAAACACCGCCGAAGCACCCGCCTGCGCAAACAACTCTATCTTATTATCCACTCTGCGCGCCTTACCACAGGACCCGCTGGGCTTCTCTCATCTGGGTATGGACGGAGTGTGGCGGAACTTCGGTCACGATCGCAACGTGGTCAGCTATCGTGCTCTCAGCGCCGAGGAGATTTCTGAGGTGCTGGATTTTCCTGGCTGGATGCGGCAAAGGGTTGAGAAGGGGTTGGAGGAGGTTGATGGCAGGGATGTAACGGATATCGAGCAGCTGTTGGATCCTAGTGAGGAGCTCTTGCCGAAATACGAAGATGATGGGGGGTTGTAGTCATGATACGGCATTTCTGTTTCTATTTGATGGGAGAATCGGATCTTACTATTGTTATGGCTGATTCTGGTTTTCGATTTTTGCCTACCTACCTATTGTCGATTCCATCTCAAGAAGGTAATGGGTTTGTTCTCGAAGGAACGCGGGGTAGTCACCTAGTATTTAGTTAACTAAACCCGCTTACCAATCAATTTTAGGTGACAGTAGTTATCAGAATCATGATATTGCAGCCTTTTAGTTAATCCCTGGTTCGAGTAAATTTTGGCTACCGGGCCGTTCGCTCACAGGTCCAGGGTCCACGGTCGGTTCGATTGCCTGTGGCCGCCAACATACTAGCACATATTGCGCATTGCTTGTCATCTACTGGAAGATCTAGTCATATTGTACGGAGTCATTCGAAAGATGAAGGCTTGACTGGAAATAGCATCTTTGGCCCCCGCGCACCACTTATCGGGGCCCCTGGATATCCCTTTCTCCGACGTTTCCACAACAGCACAATACAACATGTAACATATATGGTTGATATTGGGAGCCTTCCCTTGTGCAGATGTAGTGAGGTAAAGATGAGCTTGAGAGAGCTTGAGATTGATGACATATTTTGTGAGTCATGGCATAGTGTCACCAAAACATGGGCCTTTACTCACCTCACCTATATAGATAACATTGACAAAGATCAATTATGGTGGTATTTCTTAGATCTTGATGAAGATTGAAACTGGCTAACCAAGCTGCGCAGTATCATCCCGCTGACCGTCCTAGTTCTGAGCTAAATGCCCCCGAATGATCTCCAAAACGATCTCGTTCTTCTCCAAATGCACGCTATGATTTGCGCCAGCCACAACGGCCAATTTAGCTCCTGGGATCCCCTCCACAATAATCTCCGATTGCGCCGGCGGACAAATCCAGTCTTTGTCCCCAACGATGACTAGAGTCCTCGCACCTATCCGATGGAGCCGATCTCGATAGTCGAAGAACTTCTCTGGTGCGGCGTAAAGATCATCTAAGGGACGTGTCAGCCACCGCGTTTACCGTGCAGCAGAGTGATGGAGAATTGGATCATACTATGCGATTCGGCATTGAACACCGTAGCGAGATTCTGCTGCAGAGCAAGATCAGGATCAAACTCCTCTCGATAGAGCGGTGCGGCAGCGTGCATCACGAGCCGGAACTCGGTGTCACTGTTAAAGTGACCGAAGATCTTTTCACGGAGCATGTTAATGCTCATCCCGGGAGCTCGATGAAGACGGGCTTGAAGGGTTTGAATGGCTTGTTCTTCGTCTGTGTAGTAACCCAGAAAGGAATGGCAAGGTGTTCAGCATTTGTGCTTCTCTGCAGTATTGAAGGGGAAGTGCTGGTGAAGGGAAACGCGTGGTTGGAGTCACTTACGATGGTGAGAGGCAGCCGTCCCTCTCAGGACCAAATGAGACACTTTATCGGGGTACTCAATAGAGTATTGCAGAGCTAGGAAACCACCAAAGCTGCCGCCGCAGATGATGCACGGCGTGTCTGGCCCTGCAAAGTGACGTCGAAGGGCTTCTATGTCGTTTACTAGTTGCTGGAAAGTATACGGTTTGGTGCGCGAACTCTGGCCATGTCCACGATAGTCGAATGAAAGAATACGGAGGTTATCCTGAGAGAGAGGGGAGTATGCTTTGAAGTCGGAGGTGTGGTCTCCTAGTTTGCGTATCAGCTGGAGGTATGTGTGTGGGTATGACACAATGCAACTGACCGAATCCACGACCACCGTGTAGAGTGATGATCAAGGGAGCGTCCTTGGGACCGACCAGGCGGTAGGCAAGGTCGGCTTCATTCACGGTAACGTACTCTACCATGTTCTCAAGAAAGGAATGTCTAAGAACAGAGTCATGAGAGAAGGTGGGTAAGTCTCGAGTTCTTATAAGGATGGTCTCATTAATAGCACTAAGAGGATTACGTGATGCTTCCGGTCTTCTTCCTCCGCTGAACCACCCGCTGCACTGTATCTATGCCAACTCCCGTCCACAGCGTCAGAGCAACCACAAACGCCAGCCCACTGGCCCACCCATGCGTCCTCTTGAACTCAGGCGCCTGACTGCTGGGAAATTGAAACTGCTGGAAAGGTATGACCACAGCCTGGCCCAACGAGACCATAAACGCCAAAACGAAAGCGCGCAGTTGCTGATCTCCGCCGCAGACGGAATTGACCCAGCCCGCTAACAGAGGGGTATAACACCCATAACAGCCGCTCAGAATGAACATCGCCATCTTGAACTGCTCTGATACATCCCACGCTGTCAGCACCGCAAAGCAGAAGGTCAACAAACATCCGACTGCAAAGCACACCGGCCCGCGCCCTCTCTCACCAAAGAAATCCACAAGATACCCGGTCGCCACCATGAAGACGAAGTTGATCGCGCCCATGCAAGTCGGAAGGGAGTTGATCTGCGGCACTGAGTAATGACCCGTGGACTTCAGCCACAGGGTAAAATACTGCATCACATACGATCCGCATGTCAACGTCCAAAGACAATACGCCAGCGAGAAGACGTAAAGCTGCCAGCTTCCCAGCACCCGCCGGATCACGCTCCAGTCCAGAAGTCGACGCTGGCTGAGTGGAGTCCGCCCGTCGTCTGCAATCCGCTCAATCGCGCGCTTGCGCTCCCAGTCGCTCAGATAAAAGGCCTGCGTCGTCTCGGGGGTATCCGGGTAGAAGACCAGCCCGTAGGCTGCGACCGGTACCGCCAGAACGAAGTCGAAAATGAAGAGCCATCGCCACGCAGGCATCCCTCCCTTCCCATCCATTCCACGATACAGACCCGCTTGCAGATACCCGGAGAACATCTGACCCAGCACCCCGGACATGACAAATAGGCCACTCCGGCGTGCCATCTCCGACTTCGTGTACCAGCATCCTAGCACGTATTGAATGCCGGGCCACGCTGCGGACTCGAACAGGCCGATACAGAAGCGGAGCGCGTAGAATTCGTGGGCCGTGTTGCATTTGAACAGGAAGAGCACGAAAAGGGACCACGCGAAGAGACAGAACGGGAGCCAGAAGCGCGGGCGCACACCGGTGAGAATCAGGTTCGAGAACGGTCCGCCGATGATGACGCCGGCGTTGAAATAGGTATTCATCCAACTGAGTTCGTTTCCCGGGCCGAAGTGCAGATCGCTAGCCATTCCGGACGCATAGGCATTTGTCACATTGTTGCCGTCAAGCTGTTTGATGAAGAAACACAGGCAGCTATAGCTCAATAAGAACCAGTCCAATTTGAAGATAAGCCATTTCTCTTCTTTGGATGTATTGGGCTCGTGCCAGTGGAGGAGCGCCCATCGTCGCCGCGACGGCGGAAGTTCTGTGACAGCCGTGGGAGGCTGTTTCCCTGAGTTTGTGTCAATCGACGACATCATGAAATTGCGACATACTGCATTTCTTCATTCCAGCGTGTATTGGACGTGACTTTATACATATCGCATGGAGCAACATCTACTGATAACATACATCTTGCAGATGGTGCAATCCGACATAAATTGCCTGATCAGGAACTGCAGTAGCGCCCGTCTTCGGAGCGGGGCCGACAGTGTTCTAGCCACGAAGAGTTAGAAGAAAGAACAGACAGCGTCTGGCTCGTTCAAACGAGATAAGAATGGCGCAAATTTTGGGGACTGCCCCTCCACCCGAGCGAAGCTGAAGCCCGTTGGTTCTTCCCAGCCAACGACATCCTGGTAACAATTGGCCCGGCCTAGGGTGTCGCCCAGCAAGGATAACATCTCCAGCCGTAATGACTGCACGCTATCATAATTGATACCCATAGCATGCCCTGCAATGCTTTCTTCAAGCTTTCGCATCAAACCCACCAAATGATGGGCCTGTCGCCACTGTGGCGGGAAGCTCCCCAGAATATCTATACAGACTCGAGCTTCGATTCGGATAGGATCGGCCAAGTCTGCGTCCGACGCAAAGCAATGCAGCAAAACCAAACAGGCTGGTCCCAGCCGGTTTAGCGTGATTCGGTTCAACGGCAATTGTCGGCTACTAAGAAGAACTCGATTGTACTGGAGAAACTTCCTTACCAGCTCCAGCAGGGATCTGATACGGAAGGCCCCACTGGCGTCCGAACGAGCATTAAATCGACATGGATAATACAGCAGCAGAAGCAGATGATAGTATCGCGCATTCAACCAACCCATGGTATCATGTACGCGCACATTATCAAGCTCCGGTTGGGAAATCAGGCAACCTTGGCTATACCAGTTTTCGATTTCCAACCGTAGTTTGGCTGTGATCATGCTGCAATCGAAGGGAGCTTTCTCCTCGGGTAAGCGTCCGCCCGTCAGATGGACTGTGGAGAGAATTCGTGCCTCTAGTTGGCGCAGCTCGATAACATGTCGACTGACCTGCAGCATGGCGGCCACCTCTGCCCTCTCTGGGGTGGCGAATTCTTCAACCGTGATAGTTGGCAAAGGAATCATGGCGTCCTCGACTGTGAGGCCCGGGGACTGGCCGACAGACACCGCCATCATCCGGTCTAGCACGAAGATGCTCCAGAATAGGCGGCGACGGAGCTGGATGGCCTGTGGGGTCAAGCCGTCCTCCCACAACCCCGGTCGACTGAGGCCCAGGCTCACGGCTTGGCGGGTGACGATGCCCACAATTGTCCAAGTGGACGGGCCTTGTGGATCGAAAAGCGAGTATAGAGCCAAGAGAATCAGGATTTGAATCGAGTGAATGCTTTCACTCATGGTGCATCGCTGCATAATCTCGGCATATGCGATCGTAAAGCCGGCAGTCCCTGCACTTGGGGCCTTTCCTGATCGCTCAAGGCTTGTATGGCCGATCGCCATTACCATGTACAAAATCTGCGTTCTTGCGTTAACGCCGCCTCGTGCACGGAGGCATGAAAAGTCCGCTCGAACTCACCATTGCATCGTCCTCAGGTCCATCATTGGGTACGTCCGCTGCCGCTCGCAAAATCCACTCCTTATCGAGGAAAGGATACGCCCGGTAAACATGGTGCAGGAACGCCTCAATCAGCACAGTTGGACTTGCAATCGGCCCATGAGGCTTGATCAGGCGTTGCGCCAGGCCAACCTGCGGAGTTTGAATTGCTTCAAGCTCTTCGACATGTTGTGTCAACTCTTTCAGCCGGGCCTGCAGCGCTTCCACCTCATCTCGCCCACCGGGGTACGAGCATTTCCGACCGGCGTGAAGGCATGAAGCACAATCGGGACGCGACCTATCACATCTCTTCTTCATTCCTCGACAGCGATCGCACGCGGGGTGGGAGTTGCTCGCATTGTGAATGTTGAAGCTGGCGGGGTCTGTTGAGGGAGAGCGAAGCAGGCGAAATCGGGCACTTGAACAGGGACGACTTTTTTTGGTAATTTTAGACGGCATGTTGCCGATGTGGAGATGGAAGGTCAGCCTCGTGGGAGGAAGCGATATGGTAGATGAGTGGGGAGATAACGCCTGTCGCTATCAAGCGGGCGGATGGTGTCATTTGCTGCTGATCGGAGTTCTCCCGAAACTACCCCGACTCGAGTCATGAAAGGCACAATGAGAAGTGCATGAGTACTTAACTCAGAAGAACGAAAAGCGACATCTCTGCTGATGATAGCTCCGGCCAATTCTCTTCTCGAAAGAGAAGTTGCGCGATACCACCGTTGATATTTACCACGTCATCATGCACTCCCCCGACATCAACATTGCGATTGGTGCGAATACAATGTTTCAGTCCTGTGTATGGCTCAAGTCAGAAAGCTAACCAATGCGTTCAGATCGCGGTGGTACATTCTGCGATGTTCTGGTCCAAGTTGCAGGCCAGCCAGATCTTGTATTCAAGCTACTCTCCGAAGATCCAACCAACTATCGCGATGCCCCGACCGAGGCCATCCGGCGCGCCCTAGAAACTATTGAGGGACGTAGCATTCCCAAATCAGCCAAATTAGACGGCTCAAGGATAGCATCTTGTCGCATCGGTACTACGATCGCCACCAACGCACTTTTAGAGGGAAAAGGTGAGATATTTGCTTTCGTGGCCACCCAGGGCTTTCGAGATGTGTGCACCATCGGAGACCAGACTCGACCGAGGCTCTTCGATCTCAACGTCCGGAAGGCTACGCCGCTTCACCACAAGGCCGTAGAGGTCAACGAGAGAATCACAATCGAGGACTATGATCTCAATCCGTTCCCGCTGGACATTTCAAGGGATATTTCCGACCCTGCTCTGGTCCGAACGGCTAGTGGCGAAATTGTCCGGGTGATTCAGCCCCTAGATGTCGAAGCGGTCCGCGAGACCCTGCGCGAGCTGAAGGCAGAGGGGTATGATTCTGTAGCGATCGCGTTCATGCACTCATATCTCCATCCGGAGCACGAGGAGACAACAGCCACCTTGGCCCGCGATGTTGGCTTCAAATATGTCACCACATCAGCTGAAGTCAGCCCTGCCATCAAGTATCTCCGCCGAAGTAACTCGGTGTGCTCTGAAGCGTTTCTGTTCCCAATTGTTCAACGATATGTCACCGGCTTCGAAGATGGGTTTTCTGTTCTACCACAACGGGTTGATTTTATGTGCTCAGATGGAGGACTGCGGTCATCCCGGAAGTTTCGAGGAAACGAAGCCCTCCTTAGTGGTCCCGCTGGCGGAGTCGTTGGGATAGCGAAGACATGCTTCGATCCTAGCAATCCCACTCCCATAATCGGTTTCGACATGGGAGGGACCAGTACTGATGTCTCACGGTATGATGGAGCTTATGACTACCTCAGTGAGACGACGATAGCCGGCCGCCTTATAACTATCCCAATGTTGAACATCGCTACAGTGGCTGCTGGAGGAGGATCGATTCTCTTCGCCCGAAATGGGCTGTTTGTGGTAGGTCCCGAGAGTGCAGGGGCACATCCAGGTCCTGCGTGCTACCGCAAAGGGGGACCTTTGACTGTCACAGACGCGAACCTCTTTTTAGGGAGATTGGTGCTGTCCTCTTTCCCCTCAATCTTCGGACCGAACGCAGACCAGCCGCTTGACTATGAAGTCACGGCTCGCAAGTTTGAAGAGATCACCCGGGAAATCAACCAGCAAACGGGACAGACTCTGAGTCCGGAAGAAACGGCACTTGGCTTTTTGAATGTTGCGAACGAAACCATGAGCCGTCCGATACGAAATGCCACCGAGGCTCGCGGCTTTCATCCCGAGCACCATAATCTTGTGAGTTTTGGGGGCGCAGGCGGCCAGCACGCCTGTTCGATTGCTAGTCGGCTGGGTATCAGGCGCATTCTGATCCACAAGTACTCGTCGATCCTATCTGCGGTCGGCATTTCGAAGACAGAGTTGCAGGCAGAGGCCATCGAACCGTCTGTCGCCACTTTTGATCCATCAATCCTTCCCAATCTCAACGCTCGATTCGCTGCCTTGAAAGATAAAGTCAAGAATGAACTGATATCTCAAGGGGCGAGGGTCGAGTCAGTGCGCTTTGATGAATCTTTGAGCTTGAGGTATCAGGGGACTGACACTAATCTGACCATTTCCAAGCCGGCGAATGAGGATTACGGTACCGCGTTTCAAAAGACACATCGCCGCGAATTCGCATTCGCATTAGATCGGCCCGTGATTGTCGACGCGTTGCAAGTACGTGGGACTGGTGGAGTGGAGGGATGGCAAGCGAATTCAGCGTCGCCTTTCAAGGCTCTAGACGAGGCGAAGATCCAGCGGAAAGAAGCCAAATCACTAGGTCTGCAGAGAGTCTTCCTCGAGACATCGTGGCAGGATATCCCTTACTACACTTTGGAGGCCATTGGTCATTTCACCGTCCTAGAAGGCCCAGCGATTATTATTGACGCAACACAGACCATTTTCGTGGAACCAGACTGGGAGGCCTACATTCTTCCGGAGCACATCGTTCTCGAGGCAATCGACCGCAAGCCAGATGAAAGCTCTTGGGCAGAATCTCAGATCACAAATCCGATCCAGCTCTCCATCTTCTCCCATCGCTTTATGGCAATCGCCGAGCAGATGGGTAACACACTACAGCGGACCTCTATTTCCACCAGCATCAAAGAACGCTTAGATTTCTCCTGTGCCATATTCTCTCCAGATGGCAAGCTTGTAGCTAATGCTCCTCACATTCCCATCCACCTTGGAAGCATGCAATACGCGATCCAATACCAGCACCGTCTCTGGGAAGGCAAGCTTCGACCGGGCGATGTTCTTCTTACCAACCATCCAGAATGCGGCGGCACTCACCTCCCAGATCTCACGGTTATCAGCCCAGTCTTCAACGGCACGAACGAGACCCTAGCATTCTACGTTGCCTCACGAGGCCACCACACCGACATCGGAGGCAAGGGAATCACAGCCATGATGCCCGACTCCAAGGAGCTCTGGGAAGAAGGGCTAAACGTGCAATCCCTCAAGATCGTGGACAACGGCGTCTTCCTCGAAGACGCAGTCAGAGCAGCGTTTGAAGCTGCCGGCGACTGCCCAGGCTGCAGCCCTAGCCGGCGGATCAACGACAACATCTCTGACCTTCAAGCCCAGATCGCGTCCAATCAACGCGGTATCCTCCTCCTCCAGAACCTCTGCGACCAATTCTCTCTCCCCACCGTCCACAGTTACATGCACGGGATCCAATCCAACGCTGAAGCCGCGGTGCGCCACTTCTTCCGCACCCTGAGCGCCCAGCACCCCGCCCCGCTGACGGCAGTCGACCACTTCGACGACGGCACCCGCATTCAGGTGACCATCACGATCGACCCAACCACGGGCGGAGCTATTTACGACTTCGCGGGCACCGGCCCGCAGAGCTGGGGCAACTACAACTGCCCGATCTCCATCACACACTCGGCCGTCATCTACACGACGCGCTGCCTCATCGACGAGGACATCCCCTTGAACGACGGCTGTCTGGCGCCCATCGACATCCGCATCCCGCGGGGGTCGATCCTCCGCCCCAGCGCCTCCGTCGCCATCTGCGGCAGCACCCTGGCTAGCCAGCGCGTCATCGACACCATCCTCCGCGCTTTTGGCCGGTGCGCCGCCTTCTCCGGCTGCGCCAACAGCTTCGGCTGGGGACTCGGCGGCAAGGATCCCGTCACCGGGACGATCACCCCCGGCTGGAACTACGGGGAGACTGTGGGCGGCGGGTGCGGCGCCGGTCCCGCCTGGCACGGCGAGAGCGCCATTCAGTGCCACTCGACGAATACCAAGATCACAGACGCCGAGGTCGTGGAGAAGCGCACCCCGGTGATCGTGCGGAGACATGCGGTGAACCGCGGCACGGGTGGAAGGGGGAAGTTCCGCGGCGGGGACGGCGCTACGAGGCTGATTGAGGCGCGGGTGCCCTTGCGGTTCAGTATTCTCAGTGATCGCCGGGTGTTTGCGCCGTATGGGATGGAGGGTGGCGGGGAGGGGTCTGTGGGGACGAATTTTGTGTATAGGTGGAATGAGGGGAGGACGGGGCATGAGAAGCTGTCGTTAGGGGGGAAGGCGGCGTTGGCGTTGGAGGCCGGGGAGTTGATGGAGGTCAATAGTCCGGGTGGTGGGGGGTGGAGCGATGCTTTGGAGGGTGAAGATGATGTGTGATTGAATTATGACTCCCGAAGCTTACCTTGATCGAGAGACTTCTACTCGTTTGGTTGGTCTGGTTACAAGATACAAAGTACTAGTGATAGTTTGCTATATTTGTTTTTATAACTACTATACGCTGCTATTGAGAATTTGTATGTGACCAAAACAGTTATAAGCAGGGAGTTGCCGTAACAAGCGGGATGCTTGTACTTCTAGGGAGAGCCCTAGAGCGAAATGTTTGTCATGAGGGAGATACAGGTAACTTGCTAAGCCGGCTACTAGATAGACTACTAGATAGACTACTGGATAGACTACTGGATGGGTTACCCGATACGCTAATAAATAGCTAGTAAAATACTCGATAGCTGGCTAATCATTCCTTTGAGATTTTTTTCACATAGTAGATGATTTCTGCTTGAAAACATCTCGCCTTTGTGTATAGAAGATCCCTGGGGACTTCCAGTATATTCAAGCAATAGTGATATACGAAAGAAATGTTACATGTAGATAGCTTAGTTGATATCAGCCAGGTACCAAGAACACGACTGAATTGTTCTACATGACCTCTTCCCAAGATTTATCAATATCAAGATGTTCCAACACGCCCGTGAGATGAAGTCCACCAAGCCTCACTTCACTGCCACGTATTCACCAGGCAAGCGCAATAACACATTCCTGAAACAAATTACCAAACAAGAACCAAGGCTCTGAATCATCAAAGACGAAAGAAGAACCTCCCAGCCATATCCCACCCAGAACAGAAAGAAACACACCGACCAGCAACCCACCAACAACGAACCACAGCGAAAACCTCCACCCAACCCACACCACGACGCCCAAGCACAACCTTCCACCACTGACAACCACCAGTTCACGACGGCACCTTCCTCTCCCAGCCTTGATATTGCAGCATATAAAACCACCACCACAATCTCCCATGCCAGAATCCAACCCACAACAGTACCGTACTGTAAGCTCCCAAGGCTCACAAAAACCCCCAAAACCAAACAGCCTAACTGACTAACTGCCCTAAACCCAGAGTTCCCTTCTCCAAAACGAGAACTCCAGAAGAAAGAATGGACACCCCCATCCACCCAAACCTAACCCACCTCGCCACCCTCTCGCACCGCGCCCGCCAACGAAGCGAAGCCCGCATCAGCTGGGCCTATATCAGCGACACGCCCGCGGCCGTGGTCTGCGGGCTGTGCGGGGAGCACGAGCACATGTGCGCGGACACGCGGTTCTGGAGGTGTCCGATGGCGGCGTGTGGGCACAGCGTCTGGCACGATAGCTGCCTGGACGGGATGTTTGAGCGGGAGGCGGTGGCCGGCCGCGCGCTGGCGTTCGGGTGTCCGGCTTGTGGGACGGGGTGGTGGCTGCGGAGTGAGATGAGTGCGGAGGGGGCGCAGTTGCGCGAGGCGTGGCAGGAGATGCAAATGTTGATGCTATTGCAGGGGGTGGAGGAGATGGAGGGGTGGAGTGGGCCGGGTTCGCAGCAGGGTGGGCTGGAGGAGGGTGTGCAGCAGCAGCAGCAGCAGCAGCAGCTGGCTTTGGAGCAGGAGCGCCACCTCAGCCACCTACACCAGGAGTACAAGCTGAAAAAGCAGCAGAGGCAGCAGCAGGCTTTAGCGGAGGAGGGCCACCTCCGCCAGGCTTACCAGCAGTACCTGCTGAAGGAGCAGCAGGCTTTAGAACAGCGGGGCTTGGAGCAGCAGGGCATAGAGGAGCAGCAGCAGGATCACCTTCACCAATCTCACCAGCAGTACCAGCAGAAGCAGCAGCAGCAGCAGGGTTCAGAGCAGCAGCATCATACCCACCAGCTCTACCAGCAGTACCAGCAGGGCTTAGAGCAGCAGGACATAGAGCGACAATATCACACCCATCAGCTCTACCATCTAAAGCAGCAACAGCAGCAACAGCTACAGCAGAGTTTCATTCCGCTGCTACAGCCAGAAAGTTCGGGTGAAGACACCTGAGAGCTACTTGTCGGTCCTTGATGGTTTATTATTTTCTTCCTGTCTTCACCGTTGACCTCAAGACCTTTTGAGCGATGATTTCAAATAAACTTCCGTCCTCATTCGATTTACATCTCTTAGTAAATCGATTTGATCCCATATTGAATTTGCTTCCAAAGCATTGATAATTGTTTTTTGTTTTTTTTGTCTTTGGTTCTTGTTTTTCTTTTGGCAGCAATTGTTTGCGTGTAGAAGGTATTTTTGACCCACCATCGGTGTATCAAATCTTGTGAAGCTGGTATACCAGGTCATTCACAATGCTGTAGACAACTATCGTGATAGAGAGAAAGATTCTCTAAGCCCATCAGCCTCAGTAAGTATTTCAAATGACAGGTTTAGTGTAAGAAATGCATTGATTCAACGGTCTTTCGGCTTGCGTTAAGAAAAGCATCCACCGTACTAGAAGGTTGACGATATACATCCAGTGGCAGAGATGCGCCAGCTTAGTTATTTCGCAGATCTCAAGTTATAACTCATGAGGAAACAGATTCCAAGGCTCAAAAGACCTGTCGCTTACAGCGAACCGATGCCAGAACACCTAAAACGGTTGTTGGAGTAAAAAGTCATGATTTCTTGATTGATATCACTAGCTGAAGGATTTGTGGGTGAGTTTGCCTCGTAGAACACTTCACACGCTGTGGCTGGCTGTATTAACCAACACTGACATTCCCCTGTAGAGGACTGCTAAAGCTTTACGCCCAAAACTCTCCTGCACAGTTGAGTTGCGCATGGTCGCCTTTTCGAACCGGAAGATAATGTCTGTTTTGTGGGAAAGTATTCGTGTATGAGAAGTATGAGGATTCAGACGATAATAGATCGTGAGCACGACCTTGGCCATGTGCTTGCCACCGTAAGGGTAATTGAGGGCATCCTTGGCGATGTCAAAGGAGAAACGACTCTCGTCCAATAACGGCGTCAGGCGAATAGCCTTCTCGTCCAGGAAGTTGCACAAGTCCTGCAGCTCAGACTTGGAGCCAGGAATCAATCCTCTATGCTCAAACCCGCCGATGAGTCAATCTTGCCCAAGCAGCGGTGGTCGTAAGTAATGAAAGTTGTAGTCAGGCACAAGACCAACCTTAGGATCGCGCTCTTCTTCAGCACGGGCTCGAGGACATCCAGTTGCTCGATGCTCTGAAATCCTCCCAGGAACCCAACCAAGGACACAATCGATGAGAGCGTTACTGTGAGCATCAGAGGCATCCAGAGGCGGGCAATATGGAACGATCTCTTAAGCCTTGGTGATTGTTGACGGTTATGAACATGCGAAGCAATCTGGTTACCGCGTTGGATTACGTGGATAGATTACTCGGGAACGCCGACCATTAAGGTTACACCGGTCAGGCAAAAGAATATCAAGACACTGAACCAGCCGGTCTTCTGCGCCGATGGATACTGAATCCTGTCATCTGCAACCTGCTGGCTGGTCTATATTGTAGATAATGTGTACCCTCATAACTATGCCAATGGGAAGAGCCTATTGCACAGTTCGGCAAATTATATATCTATGTCAATTTACAGAACCTCTACGCTATCAATTTCATGGTGGGTTTCTGCCCCAGGTCAACAGCACACTCTCCTTCACAATCCCGTGGGTGTGTACCAATAATAATTTATCTCTCTCCACATGTCAGTTCATCGTTTGGGGTTGAAACTGGTACCGGCGAGATGTTGCAGTGGGATGATGATCTACCCAAGCATACAAGAATCACGGCGGACCCACTTTCGAAGACCCACATTACAGCGAAAAAGAAAAAAAAAGGAGAATGGGACGAGCCGGGCTTGAACCGGCCACCTTCAGATTTACGGCCGAAGTTTGTGCTTCAGTCTGACGCGCTCCCAGATGCGCCATCGTCCCGATTGTTGAAGGTTTGGATAGCTTTGTGTAATATGACTGAAAACAAAAATGAGCCCGGTCCCTACGGAACAGTTGACGTAGGCCCAGGCGCATCGGACTCAAAGCCACCTCTAGGGCCTTCACTCGGACATGCCGGCCCTTTCGCTTCTTTTCGAGACTGTACAATATTTGTTCGAAGAGTTGAATCCTCGGTACGCCGTTGGTGGCTTGGAAGATTCCTTTTGTTCTTCGCTTCCAGGATACCACGCGTAATTAGCGGTAGAGCAGGAAGACGAGGACGCGGCAGGCTGCGTCGGGGACCCGTCAATCTGCGTTGCAGGGAAATGGTGTCTCCAAGCAGAATAGACTTTGTCACATTTCCGAGTGACTGAAAATTTGTAAGGCACTTATGAATGATAGTCTTGGAAAACCATTCGATAAAACCAGTTCACCATTAACTGCCGGATATAAGCACATTGTCTTTGTTCCGCATAATGGTTTAAAGGAACGGTCATATGCTGGGGCTAGTGCTTTGTCGTCACCTGCTACTCGTCGTGTGGGGAGCCAGACTTTTTTCCGGAGTGCAAGAGTATGCTATTCTTGTTGGTATGAACCTTCCAGGAACTGAGGTCTCGGCCTGAATATAACTCTTGGTGTGGGTTCGTTATCCACGTCAAGGATAAGAATTATGAGGCTGTGCTTCGATGATTGCCTTGGTGAGCCTGAGACTCATTGGTGGTTGTAGCTGCACTAATACAGACATGCTTGACGCCGGAGGCTACCGTAGGTAAGAAGTCTGAATAGATTGTAGTCAGCCTTGTATAGACTTATTTCGACACGAAATGGTGTTGTACCGTAATACTTCAATATTCTACGCCAGTCAATCCTTGGACACCCAATCCTCAAACGCAGCCTCGCAGTCCCGAATCACATCCAGGCCCAACGTCTGTCTCATTGAGAAAGAGAAGAGCCAACTCCAGTCGCTCTCGCGCGTGACGCCCATATACCCCAGAAAGAAGTCGCGGAGCCTTTGGACAACCCCGTCTGCGAAATGGAGGAGGAACCGGTTGATGCGCGCAGCCCGCACATTGCGTGTTGTACGTCCTTTTCGGAGTCGTTCGTAAAGCTTCAGGATCGACGCAATGCTGTCTGCGGTGGACATCTCTTTCGCCTCGGATCTGGATTGCGATAGATGACTCTGCAAGAGCCCGAGAAGTCTACCGATCACGGCTCCATCTTCAACAGTCATCGCCGCTCCTTGGGCTTGATAAGGCAGGGTAGGATGACAGGCGTCGCCGAGAAGAGCCACTCGACCCTGTACTCCGGTCAGCGACCTGCACAATAGCCATCAAAAGACTCAAACCTTCGTCCATGTAGGCAGCTCTGGCAGCTGGTTCAGCTTCCACTTGTAGACCGAGGTGACTCGTGACAGAAGCTTTTCCAGTCTAGCAGCTTGTCAGCGGATGCTTCGACTATAACCCAATCCTCAATCCACCCCGCACAGAAGAAATGGAGGCGTACGTAGGATCCCACCCCGCATAACTCTCACGCATCTCCTGCACCCCGGCCTCCTCCCTCCTCTTCCCCGACGGCAAATCATCCGGCCGCAGCAAGACCAGATTGAACTCCCTCCCGCCCCTTACCGGGTAGAAGATAGTGTGCTTCCCCGGCCCGAGGTAGCTCGTAACCGCCACGCGCCGACACAGCTCCTCCACCTTCTCAGCCCGGAGAGCCTCAAGCTCCGACCTCGGAATCACCGCCCTATACGCCAGATCCCCAGTCTCCTGAGGCATCACTCCATCCCCACCGACGACCCACTCCCGAACCTGAGACCAGAGCCCTAGCAACACCACCGTCAGCAAACCCTCTTCTACCTGGAGTAAGACCTACAAGAAAGAAAGGAAGAAAAACAAACCATCAGCCCCCAGAACAACATCCCCGGGCACCCGCTCCCCACCCGCCAACAGCACAGCGGGACCCTCAAAATCCACCCCCTCCATCTCCACCCCCAGCCTGACTTCCACCCCGAGCCGGACAGCCTCCTCATACAGCACGCGATGATAATCCGCTCGATGGATGATCAACCACGGCGCCCCGAACTCCCTCACAATCCCCTCCCCGAAGGGCATAGACCGGAGGAGGTCGCCCGACGCGTAGCGCCGGAAATCCACGTGCTCGAGGACTTTAGCCCCTCCTTCGGTTAGAAGCTTGGGAAGAAGGCCCAGATCGCGCATGACGCGCGTGCCGTTAGGCGGGATCTGGATACCCGCGCCGGCGGTCTGCAGGTGGGGGGACTTCTCGAGGACGAGGACGTCGAGGTTTTGCTGGGTGCAGGCAATGGCGGTGGTGAGGCCGCCGAGACCGGCGCCTATGATTATTATCTTCATGGTTTATGTGTGAAATGGATTGGTGGTTTGGGATGGTTGTGGTATGATGGATGGAGAGATGGGAGGGATGGACGGATGGCAATGGCATGATGGGGGGACGGCCGGACCCGGAGCGGGAGGGAGGGACACTTGGACCACCAGCCTGGTTTCCGCTTTTCCGCCCTGTGCAGGGGGATTCCCAACTGTTTATTTACAGTACAGTACCTTGCTGTAATATACACCTTGGGAAGTAGGGTGCTGTATTACAATTCAACAGACTGGATGTGATTCACATTTATTCTCTCTTTATTTGTTCTTTTCCCGTGTCTTCCTTACTGGTGTTTTCTTAAGTACCCTTGTTTTGGGCTTGCTGCGTAAAAAGACTCTTGCGAACTACAAGCTAGCCACATTCACTACGTGTGACCACTGAGCCAGCTCGAGGTGCATTACTAGCAAACAGAGCAACAGACAAAATAAATTAGAAATAGAATAAAGAAAAAAAGAAAAACAAGAAAGAAGAAAGAGAAAGAAAGAACCTGCCGTTTGAGGCCAACCCAATCTACCATCATGGATTCTCATTCCCTTTCGACCCATCCAACCTACAAATGAGTAGCCTTAACGCCCACATAATAATGCAAGGTGATAAAGGGCCACTGCACTGCCCGGCTTCCACTGGCAAACTTCCACCCGGACACATCCACCACCTCCTGCCGCTGCAACAGCGCCGAGATCTCCTCAGGCGTCCGCGTCCGCAGACATGAGATGAGCCCATCAACCCACAATGCCAGCGCTGTCACCGGCACCACATACGTAAAGAACAGATGCACGGGCGACCACCAGTACCAGCGCAGCGTCACGAGGTACGTGAAGAAGAAAATCAGCGGGGAGCACAGGCACGTCCAGAGGTCCCGAGCGGTGATTTCGAAGATCCTTTTTGTTGTCAGTACATGTTCCCCAGTACAAACAAAAGATGAAGAAATGGGCTGAATTGGCATACACAAACGCATCCGCCTCCTCGACCGCATTCTGCAAGATCCCTTGGGCATCCTCATCCTTGAAGTGGTGGAAACAGATGTTGAAGATGCGACACTCCTTACGATCTTTGGGGGTGTAGCGCGGGGCATCCCGCGCATCCACGGCGGAAGAAATGTAGGAGATGTTGGGCTGCTTCTTGGTGATGCCCTTCCAGGCCTCAAGATGAGGAAAAAGGTCGGTGAGCAGGAATTGGACCGGCCGAGCGCTGCTGTCGCTGCCGTTGGTCTGCTCGAGGGTTCGATTGAGTTCCCGTTCGAGCAACGGGGTGGGCCCGCCGGCGCCGGCGCAGAGGTCAACGAACAGGTACGACGACACATCTGGCAGATACTCACGGATGACGGTGCAGGCCTGGGTGGCTAGGCTGCCGTGGCTCCATCCGGGGATGGACAGGTGCCAGAGCTGCGTGAGCGTGAACTGCTCGTGTTGGTGCAGCCAGCCTGGGAGCCAGGATTGGTCACCCAGTTCGTAGAATTGGATGCGGGGCCACTTGAGCATTTTGCTTGTGCTTAGGAAAGGCTTGCAGGAAATGGTCTTGGAATGGTCATGGGTAAGTTAAGAGGAGAATGAAGAGACAATAAGCTTGGGGGTGGAGGTGTTTGATAGGGAGGGCAGTGGTGCCTTCCTAGGTTTGTGGGGTTTGGTTCCGGATACCGGATGGGGGGTTCATCCTGACGTCCTTCTCCAACGGCCGCTCACCGCTTAGCATCATCCACCCACGGAGTTTACTGCCTCTCTATTGAGTCCAGTGCTCGATTGTTAGTTATCGGTACGGAAATTTGATAAGCATTATTGAGGGTTTCCATAGAACAACAGTACCTAATAATAATAAGTTTCTTTTGTGCATTGTATTTTGCATAGATACCACTAGTACTACTAGTCAATATAAAATTACACAGCAGGCGGAAAGTAACGGGATCATCTTGGATAAAGGCCGAAGTTGTGCAACGAAGCGATCATATCATTAA